GATCGTTACTGGTGATAATCTTACAGGCATTGAGTCTCTCAAACAATCTCTTCATCATCATTTTGAAATGAAGGATCTTGGAACTCTCAGTTATTTTTTGGGGCTTGAGATCACCACTGCTTCTGATGGTTACTATCTTTCTCAAGCTAAGTATGCTGCTGATCTCTTCTCTCCCGCGCAGGAATTACAGATACCAAGATTGCTTCCACTCCTCTAGAGATGAATACTCGACTTACTCCTAGGGATGGAACTCTTCTTGCTGATGCTACGCTCTACCGACAGTTGGTTGGAAGTCTCATTTATCTCACTGAAAGTGAGTGGTTAAGATCAAGGTAAAAATCGAAAATAAAACATGTAAATGGCTAAAGTAATAATCAGATAATTGGTAACACTATCAACAAAGATGAAATCAAATTGGTCCCCGGCAACGGCGCCAAAAACTTGATACGCGTTTTCCTCACGTATAAATTACCGCAAGTATACGGTATCGCATTTTGCAGAACAGTGGTTCCGGATATCGATCCACAGGGACCTTGTAGATTCAAATGCTGAGTAGTGTAATTATATTATCGTTATATTATCTAGCCGATCGTAAATAAGTGGATTGGTGATAAACCCTAACTTAAAAGCATGCAAGATCGTAAACATGCAAATATGGAATGTACGTAAATAAAGTACGACAACTCAACGCGGGGGGACTTTGATTTAAAGGGGACTTCTAGGGCCAAATCCACCTATGTATAATCAACAACGATCTACACATCCGTTATCTAACGCCACATTCCTATTCGTTAACCCAGACGCTAAAGTACTCTAACCCCCGTCTCCAGTGTAGTTAGAGTCTACCCACAGGTCCGACGTCTCCGTTCAGAACCTGCTATTAAGAGAGCATTTAGGCCAAGTCCTTAAGGGCTACCCGAAGTGCATCACGTCTCCGTTTCCACACCCCGAGCTATGTTTTCCTAACTTCAAACAAGAAATCCTCTCTCGAGTTCATTCCTATTTAATATCAATCTGAGAGCTGATCAACACAATCAGAAGCATTTAATACAGGAAAACATAAACGAAATCAAAACACGACAAATAGATAACAGAAATGACGATCGAAATCAATATATACAAGGCTTCATTGCCCTAGAAGAAAATGTTCTTAGTTCATAACAAACATAGAGTCAAAAGAATGTACACAAGAAAAGAAGAACAAAACGTAAAGAAATATCGTAAGAAAAACCCAAGTCGAAACCCTCGTTGAAGATTCCCGCGAAGAACTGTCGAAGACCGAAGAAAACCGAAGAAAGTCGAAGAAGTTAGAAGAATGATGGCTGACTTCTATTTATAGTAAGGCAAAGCTTCTTGAGGAAGCTTTGCCTTTTTAGATATTTATTACACATCCCGAGGCCCATATCGCGATATGAGAGGCAATATCGGGCGATATGGTAAAATTACAAGCTCTCTGTTTCGTTTTCCCCCATATCGCGATATGGGGTGGCATATCGCGCGATATGGCAAAAATGCAAGCTCTCTGTTTCGTTTTCTCCCATATCGCGATATGGAAGGTAATATCGCGGATATGGCAAAAATGCAAGCTCTCTGTTTCGTTTTCTCCCATATCGCGATATGGAAGGTAATATCGCGATATGGTCTCTGCAGCCCTTGCAGTTGGCTTTCTAAATCCACTTGAATCAGCTAAATCGGAGGTCGTATGAAGAAGTTATGCGTAAAATACCGAAGGCTGCCACCATCCACTTGATTGCAATTTTTGCTCTTGTTTGACTTGATTCTCGGCTTCGCTTTCAAAATCGTTTCGAATCGGTAACAATATCTAACAAAACCTAAAAATAGAAATAAAACAAGAAACGCAATAATATATACAAATAACGCCGAAACTCGGACGAATGAAGACCAAAACTCGAAGATTCGATAAGCAAAAATCGAGCAAAATGAACACTTATCATATAACTTAAAACACTTAAAAAAAAATATGCGCGCACAGTGACAAGTAATTGAAACCTGGTTCCTACGGTGCGCACATACGTGTTTTACATTCAAAATGAGTATTGTTCTTGCAAGGGCCAATAACGCATGTAAACTGTTCGATATTTTGTCGCTAAGGGTATCAGTTGTCAATGCCTGGTAGAAGAATATAGTGCGTCTTAATTTGTGAAGTTAACTATTTTCTGATTTATGCATTCTACCTCTATTATTATTACAATTCTTATACTTGCCACTGCTACTTTCTCACAAGAGACTTCGTATGGACATTGAAAACTGTGGCTAAATCAATTGTACGTACGATTGCCTCTAGATCTTGTCTCACATCATGTGGTAATTTCTTTACTTTCAAACTACTCTAACTTATATTAATGTGTCGAATTTGTTGATAGTTAATTATCTGCTATTTTTACTCCTCTTTCTAACCCTTTCAATCCGTCTTAAAGTATTAGTTTATGCTATAATATTTTAGTTAGGAGTCAAAGTATGATTGCACTTGGGTGTGATGATTTTGTTAATGTGATTATAGCATCCACCAATCTCGAGTGTATAACGGAACAATTAATTTTGAAGGCTAAAAATCAATTTTCACAAATGTCACAAAATATTTTTTTTTCAACTGGTAACAATCAACAGAGTTCTTACAAATTACAACCAAGAAATTAAATTCCAATAAGCACAACAGTATTATTGTATCTCTTTTTAAACAAGGATACTAGCAGCTCCATGTTAGGTCTGCATGTTGCTTAACAACAAGTTACCTTGACTCTTCCAACTCAAAAAATATCGAATACAAGAACGATAATAGGAAACATATCAAATAAGAGAATCAAAGGAACCTGTGAAACCTTATGTTTTTTTTTTAGCGAGGACTATTGATTGAGTGGAACGTCCAGTCTTCCGGATTATTTAGTCCAAAGTACCTCCCAGTGCTGAATATCTGGAGTTGCTAAAACCGGATATAGATCTGGTTGTTGCTCACTTGTTAGTCCCATGTTTTCATCAACACGGATTATTTCTTCTTGTTTGTGGGAATGCATATAATTATACTTTCTCAGTCTTTCCAATTCCACTGTTACTTCTTTCATAGTTGGCCTTTCGTCTCCGTTCAACTTTACACATCTCTTAACAAGCTCACCAAATGAACTAATTTGATCCAAACTCCCTTCCCTCAAAATCCTCGGCTCAATTATTTGGAGCAGTCGACTTTCCATCACCGACATTACAAAGTAAGTAGCCAGGTTTATCTCTTCTTCACTTTTTTCAGCAGACAAAGGTTTTCTCCCTGTGAGTAGCTCTGCCAAGACCACCCCAAAGCTATAAACGTCACTCTTCTCTCTCAATCGGCTTGTCTGAAAATACTTAGGATCAAGATAACCCAATGTACCACTGTACAAGAGTGGTTATTTGGGTTCGATCTAAAGGGACAAGTCTCGAAGCTCCAAAATCAGCTATTTTGGAAGTGTAATACTCATCCAACAATATATTGGGTGATTTAACATCTCTGTGGATAATCGGCATCCCTGCCGCAGAATGAAGATACGCAAGTGCACCAGCCGCCTCAGCAATTCTTAGCCGATTATCCCAAGAAAACCAGGGCATTTCCCCACTGTTGTTGATATGGTGAAGTAAGGTACCGTTTGAGACATATTCGTACACTAACAAAGGTACTTCAGTCTCCAAACAACACCCCATTAGTTTTACAACATTTCTGTGGTTAATCTGAGTCAGAATGACCACCTCATTGATGAATAGCTCAATTTGACCCTGATTCACTATTCTGAATTTCTTGATTGCAACAACACTTTTATCGCTCAGAATCCCTTTGTAAACTGTTCCATAACCCCCTCGACCAAGGATGCGATCTTCTGAATAATTATTGGTTGCCTTCTCAAGCTCATCGGATGAAAATATTTTAGTTGATTCTACACTTCCTTCATTGGAAGAAAGTTGTTGCTTCAATAACAAACCACCATTTTGCTGGAAGAATTTATTTTTAACTTTTAAGAGTTTCCTCTTCTTGATGGTCAAATAAATCCAGGTAATGCAAATTATCATAGCTAATAAAGCACTGCAACCTGGAAATTCAAAACCAAAGAGTGGTTCATTATGGAAACATTTTGATTCAGTCATTTTCTTATATTTATCTATCATTCAACACAACTAAAAGAAATGGAATAGACCTTGGTATAAATTCATTGGTAAGTACCTATTAAGATCGTCTGCGTTGAGAAGTTTCTATCTTCTTTAACACATCCACGACTATCTTTTCGGCCATCACCTTTGAAGCCATGTCTACATGAACACCCATAAATCCATTTTTTTTTTTTTTTTTTTTTTTTTTTATTTTTTTTTTTTATTATTTTTTTTTTTTTATTTTTTTTTTTTTTAACATAGAGTAAAAACGTAAAGACCATTGATAGAACTTTTAGCCAACAACTCAAAATCGTGAACACATAATTCAATTCTAACTCGCCCCCCAAACCTCAGGCTATTATACCCCTCAGAAAAATGCGCTCAAGCTTAATCAGAAAGGATTCGAAAGGCTATCCACACAAGTTGCAAAAACGCAGTCGGAAGGTTCATCTATAATTAGCCGGTGATCCATAATTTCAATTTTAAAATCAACTAGCCCATCTACTAATTCATTAATTGCTTTGCTTCAATAGAACCCGGAAATGCAAATTACACTCGATCCTAAATGAAATGCATGTGACAAACATAACACAATTACGGAAATCGAAATACATAAACGAAACTAAATTATATGATATGCATGCAAAAGACCAAATCAAAATAAGATAAATAAAATAAAATAAAAACAAAGTCTAGCAAAGATACATCGTAAACGAAATATCAATCCAACGACTTATCCCAAAACAACGAACTAAAAACAAAAACAAAAACAAAAAGGTTCAACAAACACCACCCTCAAACTCAAATTTTAGCATAGTCCCTATGCTCAAAAGCAGAATAATAAATAAAAGGGAAAGAATACACAACGTCCCTTAATTGTTTAGGTCCTCCTCGTCGTCGCTCTCTATGACTCGTCTCGCCCGAGAGCTCTCGGGCCTATCCACAGCTGCAGCATGTCGTGGGAAAGGGAGGGGTTCTGCGATATCTGTGGTGTCGCACCCCATTTTGCTGGTAAGTGCTCGCAACATTTTCCCGATGAATGTCAGGTGTGTTTCGACTGCCTCCTTCCACTCTCGGTCCCCGTCGCCAATCTCTTGAACTGGTTGCTTTCCTTTTTGGCGCGGTTGAGCAGCTCGTCTTGGAGCTGGAGCATTCTGGGCATCTCCCTCGTCGTCATCGCCTCCCATACCTGGATTGTCCGGCCCCACAGCGTCCTTGTACGAAAAAAACATCTTTGATAGGCAGTTGGGGTTTCATTGTCTCGTCGTTCTCCCGGGTCGGAACTCCTGCCCACTTACAAAGTCCGGTAATCAGTGATGGGAACATCGGACTAAGTGAAAGGTCGCTGATGCACCTCCGCATCTCTCCGTAAATTATATTCCCTACATTGATGTCGATCCCTATGATGATAGCATAGATAAGAAGCAACCGGGGGGGAAGGACTGTGCTCACCGCCGATGTGGGCAAGAGGCGGGCCGAGACGAAGTAAGCCCACGCCTTTGCTTCCTTAGACAATTCTGAACGATTGAAACTTTTCTTCTCCTCTTTCCAGGATGTCCCCCTCGGGCACAAAGTTCTGATCAAATCATCGAAAATGGTTTTCTTTTTCACCGTGTTGTAGCCTTCCAGCGATAAGTCGGGCAAATTGAAGTAGTTGTTGATATGGGCAGGATCAAATCGAACTACAACATCTCGAACCTTGACAGATGTGTTGTTATCGGAATGAGCCGCATTGGCAAAGAACTCTCGGACCATGCTGACATTTGCCTCCCCCGGATCCTCAATGAACGATTGCCAACCTCGTTTCATGACATTGTCGAAAATTTCCGGGTTCCGTTCCTCGTCAAGAAGAAGTTCTCGCTCTCGGATGATCGACTTCGCTCGGTCTTGAAAATCCTTGGCGGCTTGTGGACTGACGAATGTGTGTGTCTGAAATTCATCATCGTCGATTGGTGCCGACGGAGCGTTCCTTTGGTTGGCTCGGGCCCCAATTTTCTCTGGCACTTTTGACGAAGCCGTGGTTCGAGGCTTTTTCTTGCTCGGAGCCATAATGCAAGCGTTTGATTGGAAAGGGTGGTAAATTAGCTTGAAATCTTCTTTCGGGCAATTCACCGAACACTTGGTGTGCGGTGTTTCGGTACACTATTGAATGCTCCTTTTTGCTAGGTACCTAACTCCTACAACAATGATCAATCAAACACAAGAATTAAAATCCATCATTCACAAACATAAACATAAATTCAACATTTAACCCAAGCAAATTTGACAAGAAATTCAAAATTAAGCATGTTAGGGTAATTCCTAAATCTAGACATTGGTTCAACCAAAAACTCATGCTTCAAACCGCAAGACTCATAAAAAATGAGCATTTGTAAAACCCAACACGAATCAAGGGAGAATGAACAAGAAATTTGAAGAAATTTGAAGAAATTCGAATTTTTTTTTTTTTTTTTTTTTTTAGGGTATTCATACCTTGTTTGGAAATTTCATTCAAAAATCAACCCCAAAAGTGCAACAATGCGTGTTAAAGTGAATGGGTGTAAGATTTTGTGAAGGAGTTGTGAAATTTTGGGCTCAAAATCGAATTTTTAGGAGTAATGTTTGTGATTTTGAAAGAGGGGAATGAATTTGAATTATGTTTTCTGCCTCTTTAATCTGCATAAACCGACACCCATATCGCGATACAAGAGATCATATCGCGATATGGCCTTACCTGGGAGTTCTGGAAAGAGTGCCCCATATCGCGATATGGACACCCATATCGCCCGATATGGCAGAATTGCAGACTCTCTGTTTCCCATCCTACCATATCGCGATCTGGGAACACATATCGCGATATGGTACCTTTTACCAGCCAATATTAGAAAGCTACAGAGGTGAAGTGACAGAAGTACGAGAAAAGCATATGACAGAAATACGAGTAACAATGGGGTGCCTCCCATTTAGATATGGGGGAAAACGAAACAGAGAGCTTGCATTTTTGCCATATCGCGCGATCCTTGTGGGGTTGCGCTCAGGACTACGAATGGCCCTGACCAACGGGACTTTAGCTTTCCCGGAAATAGTCGTAGTCGAGAATTGAATAGCAGGACTTGGTCACCTGCCCGAAACTCTCGCTTTGTAATTCTTTTGTCATGCCACTTTTTCGTCTTTTCTTTGTAAATCTTGGCATTCTCGTAAGCATCGTTTCTGAACTCCTCCAATTCATTGAGTTGAAGCAATCGACGATCGTCGGTAGCTGTTTGATCGAAATTGAGCTTTTTGACTGCCCAATAAGCTCGGTGCTCCAATTCCACTGGCAGGTGGCACGCTTTCCCATACACGAGTTTGTACGGAGACATCCCAATCGGTGTCTTGAATGCGGTTCGATAGGCCCAAAGTGCATCATCGAGCTTCAATGCCCAATCTTTTCGGTTCGTGCTCACGGTCTTCTCCAAAATCTGTTTGATTTCTCGGTTTGACAACTCAGCAAGGCCATTTGTTTGTGGATGATAGGCAAGCGCAATTTTGTGTCGGATCCCCAACTTGTTCGTGAGATTAGTGAGCAGTTTGTTGCAGAAGTGAGATCCTTCATCGCTAATGATTGCCCTGGGTGTCCCAAACCTTGAGAAGATGTTCTTGTGGAAGAATTTGAGGACCGTACGAGCATCGTTGGTAGTGGTGGCAATCGCTTCGACCCATTTGGACACGTAGTCCACGGCAAGCAAAATGTATAACTTCCCGTTCGAAGATGGGAATGGTCCCACGAAGTCTATGCCCCAAACATCGAAAAGCTCCACCTCTTGCATGTTGTTCAAAGGCATTTGGCTTTTGTTGGATAGGTTCCCTGTTCGTTGGCATCGATCACACCGTTTCACGAACTCGTAACTATCTCGGAAAAGGGTTGGCCAAAAGAAGCCTGACTGCAGAACCTTGGCGGCTGTGCGAGATTCCCCGTGATGCCCGCCACAGGGTGAAGAGTGGCAATGTGTGAGAATCTCACGTACTTCTGTTTCCGGAACACATCTTCGGATGACACGATCGGGGCCGGTTCTGAAAAGCAATGGCTCGTCCCAAAGATAGAAACGACTGTCGTGAAGGAATTTTTTCTTTTGGTGATACGATAGATCGTCAGGAATGATTCCACTGGCCAAGAAGTTGGCCACATCAGCATACCACGGAGTGTGAGTACTAATGGCGAGCAGTTGCTCGTCTGGGAAGGATTCCTGAATATTTCCTTCAGTTGGAACTTCTTCTAGTATGAGTCTGGAAAGATGATCTGCTACCACATTCTCGCTCCCTTTTTTGTCTCTGATTTCCAAGTCGAACTCCTGGAGTAGGAGTACCCATCTGATGAGTCTGGGCTTGGCGTCCTTCTTTGCGAACAAGTATCGAATAGCTGCGTGGTCGGTGTAAATGATCACCTGAGACCCCAAAATATACGGTCTGAACTTGTCAACAGCATAAACGACCGCAAGCATTTCCTTTTCGGTCGTTGAATAGATCTTCTGTGCCTGGTCAAGTGTACGACTCGAATAGTAGATGGCTTTGAAGATTTTGTCCCTCCTTTGTCCCAATACAGCACCTACAGCATAGTCGCTCGCATCGCACATGATCTCGAATGGTTCCTCCCAATTGGGAGTAATCATAATCGGTGATTGGGTTAGCTTCTCCTTGAGAAACGTGAAAGCCTGCAAACAAGCAGAATCAAAATCAAAGACGGCTTCCTTCTCAAGCAAATGACACAATGGTTTTACTATTTTCGAAAAATCTTTAATAAATCTACGGTAAAACCCAGCATGCCCCAAAAAACTTCTAACCCCCTTGACATCCTTCGGTGGAGGCAATTTTTCAATCGTTTCGATTTTTGCCCTGTCCACCTCAAGACCCTTTTTCGAGACCTTGTGACCTAGAACAATACCTTCACGAACCATAAAATGACATTTTTCCCAATTTAAAACAAGGTTTGTTTCTGTACATCTTTTTAAAACAAGTTCTAGATTGTGCACACAATGATCGAAAGACGATCCAAACACAGAAAAATCATCCATAAACACCTCAAGAAATTCTTCTACCATATCATGAAAAATAGACATCATACATCGTTGAAAGGTAGCAGGTGCATTACACAACCCGAAAGGCATCCTACGAAATGCAAAAGTACCGTAGGGGCAAGTAAAAGTAGTTTTCTCTTGGTCTTCCGGGGCGATTGAAATTTGATTGTACCCCGAATAACCATCAAGAAAACAGTAATACTCGAAACCTCCTAGTCTGTCTAGCATTTGATCGATAAAGGGAAGGGGGAAATGGTCTTTTCTAGTGGCTGCATTCAATAATCGGTAATCGAAGCATACACGCCACCCAGTGACTGTTCTAGACGGAATAAGTTCATTTTTGTCATTCACAATAACCGTCATCCCACCCCTTTTTGGCACAACCTGCACCGGACTGACCCACGGACTGTCAGAAATTGCATAAATCATACCAGCGCCTAACAATTTCAAGACTTCTTTTTTGACTACCTCTTTCATTGACGGGTTTAACCGCCTCTGAGGTTGGACTCTCGGTTTATAGACGTCTTCCATTAGAATTTTGTGTTGAACAATAGACAGGCTAATTCCCTTAATATCCTCAATAGACCAACCTATAGCTGACCTATATTCTCTAAGGACCTCCAGCAGTGTGTTTGTTTCGGACTCGCTCAAACTAGAAGAAATAATCACCGGATAAGTCTTGTCTGCTCCAAGAAAAGCATAACAAAGATAATCCGGTAATTGCTTCAATTCCAGTACGGGGGCCGTTTTCACACTAACTGGTATCTCGGGGACGATCCCTACCTCGTCTATGCCTAAAATCTCGGCACACTCAAGAAACAACACGCAATCAAGCACATCATTTTCAATAGGGGTTTTGGGGGAGGCAGAATGCAAATCAATAGAGTTAACAATGCAGTGCTCAACAGAATCACATAATTCACACAAATCAAAAAAGGAGGAAACACAGTCCTCGATCACGTCTATTCTACTGCAATGCTCAACATGCTCAGAGTGTTTAAATGCATCTGTCAAATTAAAAACAACTTCTTCCCCATTTACCCTAAGCATTAAAGATCCTAATTCCATATCAATCATCGCCTTACCAGTGGCTAAGAATGGACGACCTAAAATGATTGGTGCTTCATCATCTTCAGGCATTTCAAGTACCACAATATCAACAGGCAAAATGAATTTATCTACTTTAACTAGCACATCTTCTACAATCCCATCGGGATATTTCAATGAACGATCAGCTAGCTGTAAAGTCATGCGAGTGCGGTTCAAATTTCCTAAGCCCAGTTTTATAAACACAGACATAGGCATCAAATTAATACTTGCCCCCAAATCACATAAAGCTTTATCGAAAGTAGAATTGCCAATAATACAAGGAATAGTGTAACTCCCTGGATCCTTCATTTTCGGTGGTAGATTCGACTGAAGAATGGCACTGCAAGTTGCTGTGAGTGTCACTGGTATGTCTTCTTCGATCCGAATTTTCTTGGATAGGACTTCCTTCATGAACTTTGTGTAGTTTGGCATTACCTCCAAGGCTTCTGCAAAAGGGATGTTGATTCGAATCTGCTTGATCTTTTCAATGAACTTCTTCAATTGATCCTTGAACTTCTTCTTCTTCTGTCTTTCTGGAAAAGGAATAGGAGTTACCATAAGAGGGGGATTATCATGAAAAGAAATGTTATTGGGCTTACTAGCCTCTTTTGTACTACTTCCTGAAATGGTGATTTCCGGCTCGACCGGGGTCGGTTGTACAGCTGGCCTTGGTGATTCGTCTGTCGGATAAGGAGGATCAGTCATTTGCAAACCACTTCGGGTGGTTATGGCTTGACAGCTTTCCTTTGGATTGACTTCTGTATTGCTCGGAAATCCACCCTTGGCCATTGTGGACATGGATTGGGCGATTTGCCCTATTTGCTTTTCCATATTCTTCATTGTTGATTTCAGGCCCTCCATTTCATGTTCTTGTCGGTGAAGACGCTCGTCGTACGTTGGCCCTCGTTGCTCTCTTTGATGGTTGAG